TGAAAGGTTATTCTATATTTATAGGGGGCTTCCTTATTTATAGGATTTGAGATAACTCTTTAAAAAACATGTGACTATTCATGAAGAGTCAAAAGTTGCAACTCTTCATTTGAATAGACACATCTTTTTACCCAAAGGCTTCACTTCTAATTTTGATTCAATTAATAAATTTAATATAAAATAATATTATTATTAAATTTTTCAAAAACAATTATCAATATCCAGAATCATGCGACTTTCAGCTATCAGCTACCATAGCTGTATCAAGCCTCCCCTCCCCGAATTCAATCTCGGAGTAGAAAGTCCAAAAGCCCATTTAAAACCGAGGTTGAGCTAGAACAAAGCCTGTAAACCCGAAGCCCATCAAAGACTGTTTTTTGTTTTTTGCTTTCCTGTTTGTTGGGGTTGGTGTAGGGTAAGTTGTAGCGAGATGATTTTCACACACTTTTTTAAGTTTTTATACACTCTTCTTTGTTTTTTGTTATCGGATTGAATAAATCAAATGAAAGCATCAGTCAGAATTAAACATGGGTGTGTGAGAGGCTCAAAAGAGTGTGTTTATCATACGCCAGTTTTATTGTATCTCATGTCATTGCAAAATTTTGCTATTAAACTCATATCTACATATTAAGGTGTATATTTATATTGAAATGATTCCCATATCTTGATAATTATATAAGTTTAGATTTGGAATCCTTAATTCTGAATTAAACCTGCCACTCAAAAATTAATATGTGAATATGTTGACACTAAAAACTACCAAGCCTACATGGCGCGCAGGCCGAGTAATCTATAAGCTAACTACGTCCTTCGGTGAATGCGGGGCATGCCAACTCGTCGGCCGAGCTCAGCCGAGGAGTAAAATTTGTTGATGTTGCGTTGGGTGCGCTGCTGACTTCTTGATCTTGCGATTGTGGCCGAGAAAGGAACACGTCTCGGCCTTCAGGTTCAAGAGCCTGAAGACAAGGCTGCAAACTTAGCAAAGTTCAATATCCAATTCGGCTTCCAATGTGCCGAATGTAGTAACTCCTAACACCTCACTTCGCCGAGAAGGCTGATGAGATGACCTCGACCAATAAAGATTCAGAAATCCTTCTCGACCAAGACTTGGATAGGTAATCAACCATCCTCGCCGTAGTGCTGTTGATGCCAAACGAAGATGCTGCGAGATCGGCTGATTCTGCGGTGATAGAGCTATCTATACCGACTTAAGATATCACCGGTTGCTTTCACAGTGCTGTTGATGCCAACGGAAGATGTGTCAGCGAAAAGAAAAAATAAAAAATCTCAGTTGTTGAGAGAGTTTGCGCAGGGCAGTTGTGTGTTGAATTGGAGGTCCCCCTAAATGTTGCACGATGTCTTGTATTTATAGGGTTGAAGTACTTGGCTTGCACGGTCAGATAATGTTGAAGAGTTTAATTGCAACTCTAATTCCTGAAGTTGATCCACATCAGAAACAATCAATTGCAAAACACCTTCCTCTTACACTTTTTGCTTTGCTTTGGTGATGTGGCTTTACCACATGCTTTCCTCCATCTACACGCAACCAAAGCAAAACCCTTTCCTCTGACATTTCATTATTGCACGGCACCATTTCAAATAATCTCCCACGTGGAGACCATTAACAAGGCTCCATTTTCCATGCCGTCTTATCCATGCACCATTTGCAAATCAATTGCAAATCCTTATCCGCCATTATCACAAATTGTTTGCCGCGTGAGTCGTACCAAACATCCCAAACCCGTTGGAAGTATAATTCTGTCTCCTTGATCGAATAAACAACCAGCTTAACAACTCCACGAAGGTCTAGAACTCTACTCATTTAATGGCCTCGATTGTTCGGGGCGATTGTGTAATTTTGGGCCTAAACACTGCCCCCCAGTTTCCTTGAACTTCAGCTTGTAAACCGAATGGTTAAGGAAATTAATTGTTCGTAGCCAACAAAATTTCGTCGTATTGCCGAAAAAGAAACTTTGTTTCTCGGCAATAACATGTCTGATCTACCAACGTTGTGGTCTTCATCAACTGCCACAATTTTATACAAGGCTCGGCAACTTTGCCAGAAAAACCTGAAAGACTCAAAACTTGCAAATGGGGCCGAGAAAAACTAAACCGAGAAGAACCATTCTTTACGTTGAGTGCATCCTGAAGCAAGGTAATATATATATATATATATATATATATATATATATATATAGATATATAACCTCACGTCCGACTGGTATATATATAACTTGACGAGTTGGCCGAGCTTGGTAGAACGAGACTTTGTTCCTCGGCCAAGTTGGCCGAGCTTGGTAGAGTGAGACTTTGTTCCTCGGTCGAGTAAATAATAATACCCTTCTTCACGGCAATGGCGTCCTTATGTCAGCTAACTTTATATACACACACACACACACACACACACACACACACACACACACGGCAAGCCGAATGACCCTTTTTTTTTTCTTTTTTTCGGTCAATTCGGGCAAAAGCTACTTATATATATATATATATGTATATGTATATATGTTTCGGCCAAGGCTTTGTTTTGTAATGGGGCCGAGGTCGAGGCCAAAGCCGAAATTTTTTTTTTCTTTGTTTCTTTTTTTCTTCTCGGCCAACTAATATATATAAGCTTGGATTGCTTCCTCGACCAACTAATATATATATATATATATATATTTGAATTGCTGCACTGTGTTGCCCTCCTTATTTTCTTATGCATCGGCTTAATTAGCCAGATAATTAAGAAAATAATTGTTTTTTATTTTTTATAAATAAAAGTGGCCGAACCATAGTCAGGAGGAGGCCAACAATGCTTTATTCCAAGCCGAGATCTTGCAATAACAACATTTTGATTTTTCCCTCAGGCATAATTACGTTGTTAATCTCGACTTCTAACTCAAATAACTTGGCTGAATGGAATTTCTCTATATCGGCCTTATCACCAATAATCATATCAATTGGCGTGGTTTCTTGGGCGAGGCCAATGTCTCGGCCTTGTTCGTCATTTGAACACTTTTCTAACGAATCATTTTCTAAGTTGATTTGTGACTCAGAAACTTGAACTTTTTCTTCTAGGCCTACCACACATTCAGACTTGACCGAAACAACAAGTGGCCTAAGTATTTCTTCGGCCGCCTTGACAATTTTTTTAGGTCGAATATTGGTTGTGCCCAGAGTGGAAATTTGCCCCCCAGCCTCTTGCCTTTCAGAAATTCTTCCCAATCTCTCGAGAAGTTGTTTTTGCTTCTTTAATAGGCGATGACACTCATCCCATGAAGCCTGATCGAGATAGATCATGTGAACTTCGTAGTTTTAGCACTGGGTCCCACTGGGCATGCCAAAATATTGACACTAAAAACTACCAAGCCTACATGGCGCGCATGCCGAGTAATCTATAAGCTAACTACGTCATTCAGTGAATGCGGGACCGTGCCAACTCGTCGGCGGAGGAGTAAAATTTGTTGATATTGCATTGGGTGCGCTGCTGACTTCTTGATCTTGCGGTTGTGGCCGAGGTAGGAACACATCTCAGCCTTCGGGTTCTAGAGCCTGAAGACAAGGCTGCTAACTTAGCGAAGTTCAATATCCAATTCGGCTTCCAATGTGCCGAATGTAGTAACTCGTAACACCTCACTTCGCCAAGAAGGCTGATGAGATGACCTCGACCAATAAGGATTCAGAAATCCTTCTCGACCGAGACTTGGATAGGTAATCAACCGTCCTCGTCGCAGTGCTATTGATGCCGACGGAAGATGCTGCGAGATCGGCTGATTCTACGGTGACAGAGCTATCTATGCCGACTTAAGATATCACCGGTTGCTTTCACAGTGTTGTTGATGCCAACGGAAGATGTGTCAGCGAAAAGAGAAAATAAAAAATCTCAGTTGTTGAGAGAGTTTGTGCAAGGCAATTGTGTGTTGAATTGGAGGTCCCCCAAATGTTGCACGATGTCTTGTATTTATAGGGTTGAAGTATTTGGCTTGCACGGTCAAATAATGTTGAAGAGTTTAATTGCAACTCTAATTCCTGAAGTTGATCCGCATCAGAAACAATCAATTGCAAAACACCTTCCTCTTACACTTCTTGCTTTGCTTTGGTGATGTGGCTTTTCCACATGCTTTCCTCCATCTACACACAACCAAAGCAAAACCCCTTCCTCTGACATTTCATTATTGCACGGCACCATTTCAAATAATCTCCCACGTGGAGACCATTAACAAGGCTCCATTTTCCATGCCGTCTTATCCATGCACCATTTGCAAATCAATTGCAAATCCTTATCCGCCATTATCACAAATTGTTTGCCGCGTGAGTCGTACCAAACATCCCAAACCCGCTGGAAGTGTAATTCTGTCTTCTTGATCAAATAAACAACCAGCTTAACAACTCCACGAAGGTCTAGAACTCTACTCATTTAACGGCCTCGATTGTTCGAGCCGATTGTGTAATTTTGGGCCTAAACAGAATATTATATGGATCATAGTGTCTTAAAATGAGATTCCACCTTTTACATTATAAATTTATTGTGTTGTCCTAAAGTTAATACTATAGCATCCAAAAAAAGAATAAAGACTTCAACAGTTTAGCAAATAATCATATAAAAGTTTTTATTTTTTATTTTTTTTTATTTTTTTAACAACCGATATTTATCTATACGATATTTATCTATACGATATTTATCTATACTAGTGGGAGAGAGTGGGCTTAGCCTCATAATAAGCTAGCAATAATGTGGTTCAACTGGCCTTTAGCGAGAATCGAACCTAAGACCTCTCACTTACAAGTGAAGAGGAATACCACTAAACCATAGTACTAAGTGGCATATAAAAGTTAATTATAATGACCAAAATAAATGAGATTAATAGGAAAAGGTGATACTATTTACACAGTTATTTTTACCTCCCACACACCCGTGTTGATCTTTAATTCATTAATCCTGTGTCCTGAAAATTGAGAGGTGTGTGAAATATAAAATGGGGTGTCTGGATAGCACCACCCAATAAAGAATAATGGCCACTAATTCAGTACTTCACGCTGGATTCCAAAATCTTCCAAAGACAATTCCACTTATGTTTCAATGAAAAAAATAAAACATGAAGTATGATCCCAATTTACTGGAAAAATTCTATTACTGCAAAGTAACTTAAAAAGTAACAGCACTGCATCTGCATGTGGTCCTTCAGCCTGCATGGCAACTACATCAACCACATTCTAGAAGGACATTCCTGTGCCCACTTCACAAAAGGAGGAGATCAATCACCCCAACAGACAAAGGCATCTCACACCCACCACCTCCATAGTCCACAAAAAGAACCTTCTTCTAGTAATTTCTCCTTTTTCCAAACTGTCTTCTTCTACCCACCTATGAATGTCTTCTTCCATTAACCCCTCATCCAAGTCATCAAATCATTAGCAATTTGGTCAACTTTTCCATGAAGCTGTATCGCACTCAAGCTCTACTAGCTCCCCAACAATGACGTTTTAGGTCAACTTCTACGTCTCACCACCAATATCTTGCCGTGTGTACAATGCAGGCACAAAGCAGCATCCAAATTTTTCATAGTTCCCTCACTAACCAGAATATTTCTTCTGGTTATGCTTCTTTTCTTTAATTTATATGGCTAAATACTAAATTGAGATTATTTTGTATAAATATGTATATATATGCACTTCAATTGTCTTTCTTTTCTTTTTTCTACCAAGACTGTACAAAATTCAGTTTCTTATTTTTATTGATCTAAGATTATTGCAAAATTTCTTACTCTGAAAGTGAACGAAGGTGTTAGGAAGGGATATGGATTTGAAAGGAGAAGCTAAAGGTCATGGTATATATATAAGTATTTCCCAAGAGTGTTCTAAAAGTGTTCCTTGTGGAATTCGAACTTGGTTGAACCTTTTTGATTGAACTCATAGCAAAGCTGGCTGAGTTCTTTGGCCAAAACTGGTGCTCCACAATAGAATACCCCCTGCTCAAATATTTCAACACGGTTAATTAGTAACAGTATTTGGAGAAAGCAAGCGAATTCTGCTTATAGGTTTAAGAATATTGACTTACCTATCCTTGCATTACAGTGTTTGGAGGAAGTTTTTGAGAAAACTTTCTTCCAATTAGGCCTTGCAAAATGGGTCCGCACCTAAGTATAAGAATGAAGAGTAGTAAGTAAAGTTATTTTCACGATCAACGAGTCCGACCGAAGGAAGTGCTCGCCACCTCGACGCTATACCCAAAAAGGAGTAGTGATAAAGTACCACGGATATAACTGGTATCTTATTTATGAAGGAAGAGAGAAGCACAATGGACCATTTGTCCACTCAGTTTTGGTGGCTCAACATCCCGAGTGAATCATATATAAAGAAAAAATTCCCAAGTTTATGTATTGGAAGAAAAAGAAAATGACAAATTAAGGCATTGGTTGCAGATTCAGTGCCACAAAAATTCTGTGGTGTAAAAACCAATGCTTGAAAGGTTAACATTCATGAGATGCTATAGAATGAAAGAGATCAAATATCTTACCCTTGTGCCAGACACAATATCCACCCCCATTCTTAGCATGGTTGAGAGCTTGAACCATGGTGATAAGTGTTGATCGAGCATCGCCTTCCTCGTACACACTAGTCAAGTAGTTGTGCATCTCAATGACACCCTAAAAGTAAATAAAAAAGTCATGACAAAGTTATAAGTAACTTAATTATGGTCATCTATCTATATACGCAATCAATTCCACGGGAACATGTCTAATTACCCTTTGATCAAGCTCTGCAACTTCATTCATCACTCCCTTGAACCAATCAAATGACCCTTGCTCCCTCGTTACCCAATAAAAGTAGGCATTGGTGGTCTTCAGAGGCTTTTTTCGTTTCGGATAAACCTTGTTGTGATTGGGAGAACCTATACTTCCAGAACTTAGGTCTGATGTTCGACTGAAATCTGAAACGGAATCCTGAAAAGAAGAAAGTAGATTTGTGAGTCCTCATTGATGCAAAGGACTTGGTGACCAAGAAACACATATTTAGATGATAACATTGGGATAGTGAAGTAGCAGTCACAATAAGCAGAATGGCTGCACAAGTTATACATATACTTACTGCCTGCTCTTCCATCTTGACAATATTGTTGAGCAAATCTTTCAAAATACTGATGAATGGCGTTGCACCGATTCCAAGACCAACAAGCAGAAGGACATCATATTTCCGGTAGTCTTGTGCTGGGGCACCGTAAGGCCCATCTATTAAAAGCTTGGGCAAACTGGTGTCCAGAAAACTTGTGTTTAAATATCTTACTAAAATTGAGACCAAAATACTAATAATTTCATGATATACACCTTGTCTTGGTTGTCTCATCAGCCCTTAGAAGGCCACTCTTCCCAGCTAAGGGAGGCTCGCAAGCTTCTGAGAAGACTCTCTTAAGCTCTTGTGTCCAGTCACCAAGCTGACGAATGTGAACGCTAAGATAGTCATCACCTGGAGCAGATGTAATCGAAAATGGATGCCTGACATAAATATTTTAACAAATTAGCACTCGGGATGAGCAAATCAGAAACAACATCCATACAATAATTAGAGGCAGGGGACTAAAATTGAGTGTTTTTCGGAAATTGGTATCACCATGGTGACTTACCACTCAAACGGAGAAACTGCTGGGCACTGTACAAACATGTACTGACCACTCTTGTACTTAAACTGTTGTGGCTTAGACATTTGCAATGTGAGAACGTTTCCAGGATAAATAGCAACCTGCAGGTTCAGAATTAATATCTAATCAAATAACTCATAATTGCAACTTACTAGCAAGCAGCCTTATATATATATATATTATAGTTTCCTAACAATAGAAGTTGTATTAATGCGCTAGTGTACATGTTCACCTTCAGAAGACGGACAATATATGAGCCGGACCGAAAGATTCTCAAGATCCTTTCTCCAGCATATAGTAAAACAGGAACACAAAGATACATCCAAGTCTGAAGGCATGAATATAACACTCTTATTGAGAAACTTAAACAATGTTAACAACCCAAATTAAAGATATATTTCTAATCAATACAAGGATATCAAATAATTACCGTCTTTAGGTACCATATGTGCACGAGATAGAGGAAAACGCCATGGATAATGAGCAAGATGTAGACAATAACAAATAAGTGATGTGAATACCAGAAAGCATTGAAGCCGGTGAGCCTATTGAAGGGCTTGGGAAGCTTAATGAGGCTCCGCCTGAACCACCGTGTAGCGAGTGTGAAAGCAATAATCATGCATATCACCATTATAATTCCAGTCACCCCCTCTGCCCCTTTAACCAAATCTAGGTAGGTGGGTTTATGCTTTCCAAAGTCATGATGCAAATATTTCTCGTAGTCTGATTCGGGAACCTTTATAAGCCTCGGAAAATCACAAGCAAGATGGTTCCCAGCATGGAGAATGACACCAACTACGATGGCTGCAGCAATTGTCTGCAAAGGTTCTCAAAGGAAAACACATTTTAGCGGATGGCACATAGTATTATCCGTTTCAGAAGGTGAGAATTGAGTTTAATCAACCGGGGATTCAGTTAACAAGATTAATTAATAAATTCGGGACCTCTACAAATCAAGTAATTTGGCACTCTAGCATTGAACAATCTCACTTGGATGTGTCATGTGATGCTACTTCAAGAATCTTTGCCAAGCCTTTGTACATAAAAAAAAGTTTCTAAGTCACAATGAGGCACATTGCATTTACGATTATATTGTAGAGAAAACAAAGTGCACAGAGGAAATCATCTATAATTACGTCAACCAGATGTAGTCAAGTGAGTTCCCCTCACCTAAACCCTAAAAATAGAACCCAGGAGGATCCTTTCCGCAGCCTCTTTGTGAGGATCTGAATATCCTTAAATCGTATCTATTTATCGTATATCGTGTGGTCAGTTTTCATCGAATACTATTCATATTTAATTTAAAATAAAAATATTTCAAATGATTATGACTGCACGATATACGATAAACGGACACAATTTGAGGATCCTGAGGATCCTCACAAAAAGGATCCGGAGAAGATCCTCATTCACATAGAACTATGTTAACCTACAAACAAATTTAAATTAATATTTCTACTATATTAGTTTGGCCAAATTGGATTATTCATCCCCGTGGTCATAGGAAACTTGCATGATGACCCCCGTGGTGAAAAAATTAGGAATTAAACCCATGTGGTTAAGAATGTTAGCAAATTTGGTCCAAAAGTAAGATTTCTGTTAAATGACTGTTAAAAGTATGGGTAAAACTGTATTTTCAGCTCCAATTGACATTTAAAATAAATAATTTTTTTATAACAATTAACAAAAAAAATAATGCTTAATTTTTTAAATAAAAAAAAGCCCCAATTCAATGTCAATTGGAACTGAAAATACAGTTTTACCCCAACTTTTAACAATCCTTTAACAGAAATCTTATTTTTGGTCTAAATTTGCTAACATTCTAGACCACAGAAGTTTAATTCCTAGTTTTTTTCACCACGAGGGTCATCATGCAAGTGTCCTATGACCACGGGGATGAACAATCCAATTTGGCCTATTAGTTTTGGCACCTCAACAGCAATTAGGATCTACCAGTGCTCATAGGACGGTGATGCCTCTTTATATTTCTTTTTCGGTGACATGTGATTTGATACCTATTCCCTTTATTTTTATTAAAGAAAGATATCTACGAATCAAGTATAAATACAGCAGTAATACTTTAACCTTATTTTTCAAAAAAAAGAAAAGAAAAAAGTTGAACCTTATATATCCTAAACATGTGGGTTGCCTGGTTACTTTTCCCAAATTAAGTCAATGCGTTTCTGGTTCCCACCCACTAAATGGTTTTCTCCTTTCCTTTGCCCTAACAAAAGAAAGGTATATAATGCTATTTATTTTGTCAACTTCTGCTGCCTATAGTCTCTAGATGAAACTAGTGCTTTCCAAGGGCTAAAGTATACCCTTGCGTTGGCACTAAATATTATAAAGTTTGCCCTAGATGCAGGGCGAAGATATACATAGACCGGCGGCTGACCATGTGAGATCATGTCATCACTAGCTTACAAAATTCCAAACTTTCGTATAACTATACTAAAGAAATGGTTAACAAATGTGTTATTGGCCCCAAAATTCTAAATTTCCGTATAATTATACTAAAAAAATTTGCTAATATTTTCTAAATGTGTCCGAAGATAAGTGGGACCAAGTTAGCTAATATTTTCGTATAATGAGTGTGTTATGCACGTGGTACCTTGTGGAAGTTGATGTTGTCGTCAAAAGGCACAAAGAAGCCAAGCCTGGTGGACCTGAGCCAAGTGATGGTGTTTCTACAAACAGGCAACAGCACAAGAGCCATGTTGAATTTCAAGGTCTCGCCAGCACCTTTGGCCGTGAGAAGGCAATAACCCATTATCTGAAAAGCACTTTTCCTCTTGTACTGGATGAATTTCCATGTGAAGAGCGTAATCATAATGCTAACCCACAATGTCAAAACCCAGATTCTCTTCCAGTTTTCCTGCAAGTAATAGAGTAATTTGGTGCTCATTCTGCGTATTGGACTCCTACTTCTCAGCCCTTGGAGGTTCTGGCTCAATGCTTGGCTCGTGTAACTGAGTGCTTGGCTGTAGTTTAAGTACGTGTCTTTTTGTAGTAGAAGCGTCTCCAATTGCCATAACTGCATCAACATTTTATCGCCGTCCTCATCATCCGCATTATTAACAACAAAATCTTCACATTTTTTTTTTTAAGACAAAAAAAAAAGTTTGAATCCAAAACGCAGTTCAAGAGTAAAATCATATTCAACTACACCAGTAACACCCACTTTGGACAAACTCGTCAGAGAATGAAGATGACTACCATGCAATGCAGGAAAGATTTCAAGAAATCTGCATGATGTCAACTCATAACTCTGCACGCGTGCCTACGTGTTTGGGTGAGAATTAAGCGTAGAAGTAGAAGGTCCACGTGGGAGGATGAGGTGAGAATCCTGAGAATTCTTTAATTTTGTCAATTCATCGTATATTATACGGTCATAAATTATTTTAAAAATTTTATTTAAAATAAAATACAAATAATACCTAACGAAAACTGATCGCACAATTCACAATAAACGGATACGATTAAAGGATCATATGGATCCTCACAAAGATAATCCGTACAGTATCCTCACCCAACTATATGTGTACGTCAGAATAGCACTCGCCAAAGCGTAGTAGGTGAAGATGATTTTCCGTGTGTATGATTAAATTACGATAGTACCCTTACAAGATATGATGTGTAATAGTTAGTCACATCTCTTCCAATCGTTCGAACATCTCCACTAAGTTTAGTTTAATTAATATTTCTCTGCACTTAAGATGTAAATAAAAATATAAAACACTATTTTTATATATAGATAGAAGAAAATTGTTTGAAACAGTCATGAAAGGCTTTTGAGAATGGAAAAGATGCAAGGATGATGACCTATATAACTACCAGCTTAAGAAAAAATTTCACTAGCTTTTCCTTTGGAATAATTCATCCACTATTCTTCGACCTTATTGATGCAATTTTTTTTCATAGAAAAAAAGATCATGTCTCAAAACACTTAGTAGCAGGTACATAATTAAATTCAGGCAAGATAAGTAAGGAATGAGAAAAAAAGGAAATCTGATAATGAAGTCAACAGTAACGAAAAAAATGGTTCAACCGTCCCAAATGTTTGTCAATAAGTTTGTCAATAAAACAAGGAAATCTAATAATTAACTGGAATTCTGGTTGGTGAAATTTAAGCATGCATCTTACTTTTAACTGTGTCAATGCCTTATTTGACATGTAAACCCAACTAATTACTTGGAAAACTAATTTGCAAATTAAATTATAAAAGTCCATGCCTCAAGAATGTGTAGTTGGATTGCCCAAGACTATTTAAACAAAATTTCCTAGCAGTTCTAGTTTTCTTTATCATTAATAAATCATTTTTCATTAAAAGTAAAAGTCTACTACAAACAATGACGGACTCCAAGATTTGGATATTTAATCATCAATATGCTTATCTTATGGCCAGTGAGAAATATATAAAAGGGTTGTGTATATATAAATACATATATACATATATAAAAGGGTTGTGTATATATATATAAATACATACATAGAAATATATAAAAGGGTTGTGTAACTAAAAGTTGTGGCAATTGGGACCTACCTCGATGTAGCCAAGTCTTTCAGGATCCAACTCTTCCATGATCAGAGCTGCATATTCCTCTGCTTGTTCCTTCAATCTTGATAGCTTGTTTGCAGAAGCACTCAACATGATGATCTAAACCATTCGAAATAAAATAAATAAAATAATAATTCTTTTTTACAAGAAATTAAATAAGAATTTAATTATAATTTTTTCCAGCAAACACTGAGTTTATAGTTCACATTAGCTAAAACTATCCGAACAAAAAAGGAAATTTATAGTTCACATTAGCTAAAACTATCCAAACAAAAAAGGAAATTTCCAAACAACGACCGAAATACTTACTACCATATATTGACTACAAAGCCCTCACCAACCCCACTGAAAACAATTAGAGGACCATAGGAAAATTAATGAAAAGTCTAAAAAAAAATTAGTTTTAATGAAAAATGACAAATAAAGGTGTAGTGAATAGTACCAAAGAAATGTAAAAATGTGATTTTCTGTTAAAAATGAACAGTACAGGGAGTGTTACGTTAAAACTCCGTTAGACCATTCCCAAAAATTTGGTAAAATCTGAGAATTTGAGGTGTCATATGTCAACTACAAATGAATAAAGATGCTTACGAACCAAGAAAAAAGAGACGTTTCAATTAACTCCATTATTAAGTTTTTTATTTTTATTTTATAATTTAAGTGTGGTAGTTAGTTTTGGAATTTTTCATTGATTTATGGTCACCCAATCCTGCCTACCATGAATTATAATAAAACAAATGACACCATGTTGACCATGAAAATATGAAACCCCACAAGAAGCTCATGCATTACTTGTACGATTAGATTAGGGAGATCAAATTTCATGGACGATTGAGTTTGGTCGGCGCAGAGTTAGGCAAGTTCATGAACAGCATTTATATTATTAATTTAACGTGGTTGCGTAAGCATGTTCAAAGTTGATTAGAAAAAATATAATAAAATAAAAATAAAATCCTTTGATCAATATAATTAAAATACCTCTTTAACTTCTTCTTCTGTAATTCGACCATCATCGTTCTTGTCCACCCTGTTGGAATATATAAATTATGAATTAAAATATTTCCATTTAAGTTTAAGTACTTCAGAAAAAGTGCAATACGACATGACGATTTGGCATTATTTGTCCTAGTGTTTGCTTTACATGAATATACAATTAAGGTTGAGCAAACAATTAATGAGCAATGATTGTGATTAGATAAATTTTTTTTTCTTTTTTTTTGTCAAAAGGTAATTAGATAATTTATGAATTACTGCGTACATGTCGAAGAAGATCTGGAGTCTGGAATCGAAACTTTGATCGGAAATTTGGGACCAAAACTCATAGAGCTCGTCCTTGCTGATTTTCTCAACCTTCATTCGTCGTCTACGACCCAACGCATCGAACAACTCCAACGCAAATTCCTTGGAATCTCTCATTCCTTCAAAAACAAAATCAAACAAAACAACAAACACACAAAAATCAATAGTGTATGAAAATAAACATAATACTATTGACTGCAGCAAACTGCGCGAGCATTTTTTATCGTTTATCATTTGAAACCCGAAATATCATTTTACAAAAATCTTTCTTGCATACATAATGTGAAGATAAATTGTAGTTTTAGTAACAGTAGTACCGATGCATTGACCGAAATGGGCGCGATGGAGGTGACCGTCCTTGGCGAGCTTGTTGAAATTGGCCTCCACTTCGTTCCAAGCATCGACGCCATTGGTCTTCGAACTCTTGCAGTTACTGATGAACCTTAACCCCCGAAGCGCTTTCTGAGCGCCGGAGCGAGTGCGATCAAGCTGCGCTCGCTGCCGCCTGAGAGCGCGAGCGGCCAGCGCCGAGTCAAACGCACCGCCTCCGCCACCACCGACCGATGCATTTTGAGAAGTCGAAGCAGAGAGAACTCTCGAGCCGTGGCTTTGGTTCCACGAAAACCTCCTCAGCTCGGCTTTGAGCTCTTGAGAAAATTGCTTCGCTTTCGCTACGGCCTCGGCTTTGAGCTCCTGAGAAAACTGCCGTATCCGATTGTTGGACGAGCTTCGCCGTATCGTGGATGGCGACTGAGAAGCCGAAGCCAACGCCGACGTCGGAGTTTCATTTCCAGCAGTGGCGAGTTCGTCGATGTGAATGACGGTGGCAGGCTCGACGCTGCGGAGGACAATCGTGTTGTCATCTTGTAAGTCGAGAGTTACCTCGACGAACTCCTGATCCCCAGAGTTGGAGTCATCGGTCATTGCCGGAGATGATGATCCGGTGCTGACCGTCGATCTCATGGGGACGGAGTCCGAGGCCCATCGGCGCTCGTGCCTCGGAACAGCCCTCATTGATGAATAAAACAGAATGATAATTAACAAACAGAAACAGTTGTATATAATTTAAAAATGAGTGGGGGGAGGTTGTGGTGTTTATAAGAGTTGTAAAAATGCAGAGGTGAGGAGAGTGTTGAGTGAGTTTTGTTTTCTTCTATTTTTTTGTGAAAAGAGGGTGAATTGGTCGTGGAACGCGGTTTGTTCGGAATCTCAGGGAAAAGACATGTACGCGGAGCGCAGCATTAGACAGAGAAAAGAGAGAAGCAGACAAAGCTTTGTAGCAGAGAAGGAAGAAAGTTAAAAGTACTCAATTATCTCCGGGGGCCATACAATAACACCACCACAAGTATATTATACATGTACATATTTATGTGTTATATATGTACGTTTGTTTATTTATTTTATGTAAATTGATATTTGTTTTGTTACGAACTTCTATTCGGATGTGGTTACGGTTCGTTTGAATGTGTTACACGCAAGGTTTCAAAATGTGCTAGGCACTAGTCAGGCGGCGGACAAGCGTCTAGCAGCTAGACGTTTAGACGGAGCCTAGGCAGGGCCTAGGTGGGGGTCTAGGTAGTTTTATTTTTAACATATAAATAATGGGAACTTTAATGAAAAGTTATTGATACTGTTCATTTTAACGAAAAATTATATTTTAACACTAAAAAGTCAATCATGGTACTATTCACTTTACCCTTTATTTTGTCCTTATCATTAAAACTCAAGGTTTTCAAGCCATTTTCATTAGTTTTCCTTATAAATAATTGTCTACTTGTGCTTAAAAAAATACAAGATTGTATTGGAACACTTAAATTACAAAATAGAATGACATGTTGGGTAACAACCTGAAATTTCTAATTCGGAAGCTAATTACTAAGAAAAAAATACAAGATTGTATTGGAACACTTAAATTACAAAATAGAATGACATGTTGTGTAACAACCTGAAATTTCTAATTCGGAAGCTAATTACTAAGATAGGCCCAAAATTATTTTCTTAGCCAAAATTTCACTAAAAGAAAAATCTTAGGTATTTCATTATGGTTGCATCTAAACTTCTCGTTAGACTGCCTACATACCCCACTAAGAGATCAAGCCATTAATAGTTCACATTTCACTTCTAGATCAACATACTAAAATTTCATTTCGATCCAATGGTCGGATCTCCGCCAATCACAACATCAAGTGGTGGTCGACGTTTTATTTTATGAAATTACAAATCCAATTCGGGAAGATCCATATGTCGGATTCCCGATTTGTAAGTTCCTAATGTCCTTAAATATTACATATTTCAATGTATCAAAGTTTGGTGACAATCCAACGGTCAAATCGTCGTTTCACAATTTGATCAGGAATGATATCGTAGTGAATTTAGGTTCAAACGATCAACCTACGCCATACGAATATCAAAACTAAATTCAGAACATCGAATTAGCCTAAAAATAGCATTGACGGCCCTCTGGTCAGTCGTCGTCTCGACTTGCCGGAAAATTCCAACTATTTCTAAAAATTCTCAAAATTTACAAAAATGAAGATCTCAAACAGTAGAACAAACTTTACACCTGCGGCCAAGTCCAATTTGGCCGGAAAAAAGCTCCAATTTCACTCAAAACCCGTCGGAACCCTAGAAAATTGAGTGGCCTTGATCCTCCACCATCGGTGCTCCGCCGCCCCAACCAAAGCTTGGGAAATATTCCTGGGTTCAAGAGAAGTCAACTCATGGTGGTGGTCCATGGTGGTAGCTTCAGAAACGGCAGAAACCGCCGTGGGTGCCCTCGGATTCACCAGAGAGAACGAGGTTTGTTCTTCGTGAAATTGTGACCCACCGTCTTCAATCTTGGGTGGAAATGGATGATGGGATGACTAGGAGTTGTTTAGGGGTGGTGGCGAAGCCCAATTTGCCGGGAGGATGCTGGAATTGGCGTCGGGATTTTGCTATTTGGGTCGGGTCACGCGGGTTAAGGGAGACCCAGTTTCCCCTTCTTTTCTTTTCTCCCGTCTCTCCTTTCCCTCTTCCTCATTGGGCAAAAAATCCCCATCCACCACTCTCTTTTCTTCCTTTCTCTTCTTTTCTTTTAATCTGAGTCGTCTGCGTGTCATCACAGATAATGGCTAAAAATCTAGATCCTTCAAGATGAAGCAAAAATTACAAATACAACCCTCGTTTTAAACGTTAATAACTCTTTCGTTATAATTCCGTTTCACGAACGGTTTTCACCTACGCACTTGTAGGATCGAACTCTATCCAAATATGTCAAGAAATATAACAAAATACATGAGGATAAAATACATCCTCGAAAAATTACGTTTACCCCCCCCCCCATTAGGGCATTTATGTCATTTCCACTTGTCCAAAAAAAATTCACCAAGCCACATATTTTAAAAAATTTCAAGGTATTACATTCAACCTTGTTAAAATAAATCTCATCCTCGAGATTTCTACCCTCGAATAACTAAAAAGGAATTAACGTTAATTCCACCATTCCATGTATAATGAATAAAATCACAACCTCAGTCTACGATTTTATTCAAGCCCCAGAAATAAATACTTCCATGAAGTAATCATTCATACTCATGTTTCCAACCATGCTAATTGGTAGAATAAATATCGGAAATTCTAGCCATATACATTGGCAAAATAATACCAAACATCAAGCCATAATCCTCAAGGCCTAAATAAATACTAGATTATCAACCACATCTACCGTTGGTTAGATAAATACTAGCATCATAATCACAATCATTAGTAAACTATTTACCATCATTGCCATATTCATCATTGGCAAAACAATTATCATAAATTCCCAGTCGTAACGATCGTCGGCCAAGAAAATATCATAATTTCAAGCCAAACTCATCAGTGGCTAAATAAACATCACAATTTCAAGCCAAACCATTAGAATTGGCAAATCAAATATTAGAAATTCCAACCAAAATCATTGAAATTTCCAATCACAATTATTGGTAAACCCACTTACCAGCATTGGCTATACATAGTCGTTGCCACGATTCTTCCTCAAAATTTCTAGCCATAATCACTGGCGATATCAAACATCAAAATTTTTTTGCCATATTCATCCTCGGCAAAACAAATATAATACATTCTAGCCAAACCATTATTGGTAGAATAAATATCAGAATTTCAAGCCCCCTCTACTATTGGTAAAATCACTTACCATTTTGCCATTTTCATCCATGGCAAAACAAATGTCATAAGTTCAAGCCATAATGATCATCGGCCAAATAAATACCAAAATACCAAGCCCTAATCATTAGTGGCTAGGCAAAAATCACAATTTGAAGCCAATCCATTTAAATTGGCAATTCAATTATAAGAAATTCCAGCCAAATAATTGGAATTTCAAATCACAATCACTGGTAAAATTACTTACCATTATTGACTATACATAGTCATTACCACGATTCACTCATAGAATTCGTGTGCCAATATAATCTAATTTGATGACCGTTCCCACGGCCGATTACCCTCACTTCAATCTGACCACAACAACACGAAGTAGGGTAACGAGCGTGTCCATTTAATCCTACACCCTAGAACCAAGTACTCTCCCCATGGGATATGGTACAAGTACGGCTATGTAGGCCTCCAAAGGTTTAGGGGATCGAAACCCAAGGCAGCGCGCGGTGCCTCTCACTCCTAGTAACTCTCAAACCAGGAATGTCCATTTCCAACGGCCATACTACATAGACTATCCCGCAGGAGTAGCCCAACCATATAACACCCTCTGAAGGTTTAGGAGATCGAAATTCAGGGGAACCTCACAGTCCATTTCACTCTTAGGTCATCAAAATATCCAGGGAACCTGCATTTACAATCTACAGAGACTAGTGCTCGCAACAACACACATTGGAAATCCATAATACATATGTGTAACTCACATATTTATAGAAATTATGAAATAGTGCAACCACAATGCAAATCATAATTTCCACTCACACAACTCCATAGTTGCCATGGAAATTGCACCAAAATCACAATGCACGTCATATATGCATCTCACATTATATATATATATATATATATCACATGAATATCACTTTGATCACAACAATTATGAAATATGCAACCGCAATGCATATTATAATTCATATAGCACATTATTCACAAAATTATGAAATAATGCATTCACATTGCATATCAGAATTCACCTCAATATGAATTGAAGAATATAGAAATCTGAAAGTAGGATCATTCACTCTGATACCAATTTGTAACAACCCGAAATTTCTAATTCAGAAGCTAATTACTAAGATAGGCCCAAAATTATTTTCTTAGCCAAAATTTCACTAAAAGAAAAATCTTAGGTATTTTATTATGGTTGCATTTAACCTTCTCGTTAGACTGTCTACGTACCCCACTAAGGGATCAAGTCATTCGTAGCTCACATTTCATTTCGAGATCAACATACTAAAATTTCATTTCGATCCAACGGTCGGATCTCCGCCAATCACAACATCAAGTGGTGGTCGATGTTTTATTTTACGAACTTACAAATCTAATTTGGGAAGATCCGTATGTCGGATTCTCGATCTATAAGTTCCTAAGGTCCTCAAATATTATGTTTTTCAATGTATCAAAGTTTGGTGACGATCCAACTTTCAGATCGTCGTTTCACAATTTGATCAGGAACGATATCGTCGTGAATTTAGGTTCAAACAATCAACCTAAATCATACGAATATCAAAAATAAATTTAGGACATCGAATTAGCCTAAAAATAGCATTGACAGCCCTCTGGCCACACGCCGCCACACGCGCCACTGTGGATGGCGGTCGGCCGCCCCGACTCGCCGGAAAATTCCAACTATTTCTAACAATTCTCAAAATTTACAAAAATGAAGATCTCAAAGAGTAGAACAAACTTTATACCAAGTCCAATTTGGTTGGGAAAAACTCCAATTTCACTCAAAACCCATCGAAACCCTAGAAAATTGAGTGGCCTCGATCCTCCACAACCGGTGCTTCGCTGCCCAACCAAACTTGGGAAATATTCCTGGGTTCAAGAGAAGTCGACTCTTGGTGGTGGTCCATGGTGGTAGCTTCAGAAATGGCAGAAACTGTCGTTGGTGCCCTCGGACTCACCGGAGAGAAGGAGGTTTGTTCTTCGTGGAATTGTGACCCACCGTCTTCAATCTTGGGTGGAACTAGAAGCTAGGATGACGAGGAGTTGTTTGGGGGTGGTGGCGATGCCCAGTTCATCGGGAGGACGCCGGAATTGGCGTCGGGATTTTGCTATTCGGGTCGGGTCACACGGGTTGAGGGAAACTCGGTTTTCCCTTCTTTTCTTTTCCCCCGTCTCTCATTTCCCTCTTCCTCATTGGGCCAAAAATTCCCATCCACAACTCTCTTTTCTTCCTTTCTCTTCTTTTCTATTAATCTAAGCCATCAACGTGTCATCACAGATAATGGCTCAAAATTTGGACCCTTCAAGATGAAGCACAAATTACAAATACAACCCTCGTTTTAAACATTAATAACTCTTTCGTTATAATTCCGTTTCACAAATAGTTTTCGCCTACGCACTCGTAGGAGAAATCCATCCAAATATGTCAAGAAATATAACAAAATACATGATGATAAAATACGTCATCGAAAAATTACGTTTAACCCCCCATTAGGGCATTTCTGTCATTTCCACTTATCGAAAAAAAAAATTCACCTAGCCACATAATTTAAAATTTTTTAGGGTATTATCACATCCCGACCCAAGCCCCCACCACATACCGGGCTCGACTCCATTGTAGCACGATATTGTCCACTTTGGCCCCCGACCAGGCCCTCACGGTTTTGTTTCTGGGAACTCACACGAGAACTTCCCAGTGGGTCACCCATCCTGGGATTGCTCTCGCAAGAACTCGCTTAGCTTCAGAGTTCCGATGGAACTCCAAGCCAGTGAGCTCCCAAAAGGCCTCGTGCTAGGAAGAGGTGGGAATATACATATAAGGCTTACAGGATCCACTCCCATGTGCGATGTGGGATGTCACATGTTGATTATAAAATATTCGAACATATTGAAAATATGAGGAACAAACATACAATGAGTATTCATTCAAATATTCAATAAGTCTCATACAATTTCATGAAAAAATAAAATGCAACATGGAAGTTATCTTTCTTTAGTAAGAGTTGCGATCTAGGCAGGTGGACGGGTCTAGGTGGGCGCTTAAGTAGGTTAGGTGCCATTTCTTAATTTTAAACGCTTAGGGACTAATTGTGTCAGTAGCCAGCTGCTTAGCTCTAGGCGGAAATTTTTAGAACACTAGTTACATGCATTGTTTGTAATGGTGACTTATTATTTGAATGTCAAGCTTTTATGCATTATCACTTGTGTTTTTGTACCCGCAAACTGAGAATTTAGCTTGAGTAGTTATTTTATTTTTATTCGTCATCTAACAAAATTGAGAAATTTGGAAAAATAACTAAATTTTAGATCCCGTATAGAATGTTAACGATCATTTTAGTTTTATGTAATTATAACCAATACTTGATGTAAAAGTATTAATATACCCTTAATATTAGGTTTGTGACAACAACCAAAACACAACCTTTAAACTACCTTAAAATGAGGAAATAATCTCTATCACTTTTTTGTTTTCATTATTCTCTTCAACTTTTGAACCACTTTCTGCAACCTTCCGGATTTCTGCAAAACGTTACAACAGCCTTATTTTTACCTTTGAATGCACTTTCATTGTTCAATCACATCAATTTTAAAATCTTATTGGAAGTACCAAGATACCTAACAATTTAATCTCGAAGACTTTGTTTTTTTTTTTTTTTTTTGTTTTAATTCAGGCTTTCATTATGGTTTAAAGGTTGCAAACATCCAAATGTGTAGTTCAAGGTTGCAGACATCTGAATGTAGTTTAAAGATTATATACAATAACGAAAACAAAAAAGTCACCGAGATTAATTTCTCAAATTGGTGCCAATTGCCAAAAATAATGTGGGAACTCAGAAAACTTTCTCCATCCATATTCAAATCTTCAGTGTTATAAGTTATGTTTTGGTTATTGTGAGAAATCCTAATATTAAGGGTATATTATTACTTTTACATCAAATTTTGGTTAGGCTTTTTAGCCAAAATAGTCCATGAGATTTGCACAACTCCTCACTTTGGTTTCTGAGATTTGAAATCAATAGAAGTGGTCCTTGAGATTGTCCACCATCAATCATTTTGGTCATTCCGTGAAAACTTATGTTAAATAAGGAACAAAATAACAAAACTACCCTCAATTTAATAAACAATAGGCCAAAATGATTTGATAGAAAATGAGGGTATTTTTGTAATTTTAGCTTTATTTAATGGAGATTTTTCACGGAATGACCAAAATGATTTATGGTGGACAAATTCAGGGACCAATTCTATAGATTTCAAATCTCAGGGACCAAATTGAGGAGTTATGCAAATCTCAGGGACCATTTTAGCTAAAAAGCCTTTTGGTTATAATTATTATAAAATTAAAATGGGGGCTATAAACCTATATATGGTCTAAAATTTGATTATTTTTTCAAATTTCACAACAGTGTTGTCATACAGTGATATTCAAGTAGTCCCAACTCATTAATTTTTTTGTCACGTTCTTTTATTTAATTGATCGAGCATGCTAATGATTTGAATTCTCAAGGTTCTAAAAGATTCTAAGCGCTAATCAGGCGGCAAGTTGGGGCCTCGCGCCTAGGCGGCCAAACGAGGTCTTAGGCAATCTACGTGGGGCCTAGGCGGTCAAAGCGGATTTAAGTAAATTTAATATATATCGTATAAATAAATGTTTGCTTATACTTACAAAAATACATAATTTCATTCGGATACATAAATTGTAAAATAGAATGACATATAGATTATGAAGTATTAGAAAATAATGTAAACATAGGGAACAAACATATAATGTGTTCATTAAAGTATTTAACAAGTCTCTTACAACTTAATAAAAAAAAATTACAAAATAAAAGTTATCCATTTTCTATTCATGTGACCACTAGCAGAAAAAGCTTCTTTTGTTTGGGGTCAAGACAGGAAAATCCATGTTTGTGGGTTTCTTCCTTTCTATTCTCTTCACTCTGCTTTTTTGGATGGCCACTTAAGAACAAGAGAGGAATTCCATGGTGTTTTTTTATTTATGATTTTGTTTGTATTTTTACAAATAATGAGGAAATGATTCACAAATTGCAGGCAAGAAACTGGTGGGGATGGTAGAATTAATTTTTATTTTTTATTTCATTGGGGTGAGTTTGTTCTGAATCTTTCACATTTTGTGGGTTGGTGGAGTTGAGAAAATGTAACAGTAACAAGTGTTTCTATTACAGTCATTACTTGCGAGCTTCTAAAGGCTGAGGTAGGTGGATTTGTATACCTCAAATATTGCTTGTAGCTTCTAGAGAATGCTTTCGATTTTCAACACATATCGAAATCTAACCTTACATTTGTTACTGCTATTAGATGCTGGGTACTTGTAGCTAGTATCGAAGGGCTTACTTACATCGCGGTAAAAAGAACAAACAAAGGAAAAAGAATGTGATGGTATTATATTATATAATAAGTGCTTAAACAATGATATCCTCTTTTCTGTACCTGAGTAGGTAAAAGAAACCAAAAGATTAGAAAATAAAAAAATTAAAATTGACTAAGACGTTAGATTCCAACAACGAAGTATTGCGTGTGATATATATAGCCTTATGATGGTAAAACTTAGATTAGATTTTTCTTTTGTACACATTAGATCTTAAGAATATGACCTTGCACCAACTCTAATGCTGATTTACCTTAATTGGCTAAAAACTAATTACGCAACTTATAATCTCAATTCACCTGGAAAAGCATCTTTCTCTATTTAGCATTCATCATGAGTTACACCTCTATTGAGAATGGATCCCAAATTAAAGGGAAGAAAGGGTAGCTTTATATATAAAATTGGGCTACTTTCATATTGTCTATTAATTTTATGTAGAACCCCAACTCTCTTCAAACTCTTGCCTCACCCTTTTCATTATCAATTAGAGCCTGTCTCAAACCTAGCTACCACACATTTAATTGGGATATATGTTAAGGATCCAAATATGAACAATTCTTAGATAATTGAACTGAACATTTAATCGGGATATGTTGCAAGATGTAACCTACAAAAACACATTCATTGAAATGAGGTTCCAATTTGTGAGTAGTATAAGTCCCTATGTGCGGGTAACATGCACAACTAAACGTACAAAGAAAGGACAAATTTGGGTGATGACCAAAAGGACGAAAATAAGGACTAGACCAACCAATGATAGAAGGCGGAAGAAGGTTACTGATAAAGTTGGCACTGAGAGCAGCTTCAACCCAAAGAGAGGACAGGGCATGAGCAGCGTTTAAGAGTAGGCGAATGATAGTAGATATATTATGATGTTTGTGTCCGGCAAGACCATTTTGTTCGGAGGTGTGTGGACAAGAGACACGATGAACAAGCCCAATTTTATGGCAAAAGGTTTTAAATGAATTATTTATGTATTCTGCACCACCATTGGTTTGAATGAATTCAATGGAGGAATTAATAATATAGGCCAATTGTAAGAATGATTTCTGTATTACGTACCACCATCAATTTTTCACAATATTGTATAAAGATTCAAAATGCATAAAAACCTTGGATTTAGTATGCATAGGGAAGCCCAAGAATAACAACTATAATCATTTGTGAACAAGACACAATATCGAAAACTAGAGAAGGGGGGGGGGGGTTAAAAGATATTCAAATATCCGAATGAATTAAATAAAAAAGAAACAGACTATTAATTATATCGGAATTAAAAGGTAGCTTGTGCGACCGAGAGAATGCACAAGGCTTACAAAGCGCCTTATTTAATTAAGACATAAACTTAAAGACAATTTAGATACAACTTCGGAAGTTGGATGACCAAGATGGGAGTGCCACAAGGAACGGCCAGGACGAAGACACATGATAGAGATGACCCTTACAGTGACCTTGAAACAACAAAAAACCAGTGAAAAGTCAGAAATAACTTGACCAAAAGGATGAATAGTATGAACAATGGAATTATCTTTAGTAGATTGAAAAGCAGAGAGAATATTTATCTTTAGAGGATGAACATGTAAGTCATTATTTAAGTTGAACTGACGAGACCCCAAAGAAGGATGAAGAGAAGTAGTATGAGTGATAGAAAGAGCATCCTCGTTACCAACGAGGACAAAATCGTTACCCGTATACGGAGAGGAGTCTTGGAGGGCAGCTCCGTTATAGCCATGTGATGAGTAGCTTCCGTATCAAAGTACCAGGTGAGATCATTAGCAGCATCATGAGGAATAACATGATAGCCTGCAAAAGAAGGTGTACGGTGATGAGGACAAGCGAAGATGTGATGGTCGGGAGAGTTGCCAAAGCTACACAAAAAACAAGGAAGATCACCAAGAATACCATATTGGTTATTGGTGTTGAAGGCCTAATTGTTGGATTACTAATTGCTACAACCACCACGACAACTACCGTAACCCCATCCACTACTAGACCTCTTATTGTAGTCACCACGTGGCTTATTGTAGACCCCACGAGGGTTGCAGTTACAGTTGTGGCAGGTTTGGGCCATGAGCTTAGCAAGCTGCTGCTACGACATGCCTTGCTACGGTGTTAGGATAGGATAAGGCGGCTGGGCCACGTGCTGCATAATAGTGGCAGGGGCAAGAGCACCAGGAACACTAGCAAAAAGTGCATGGCTCGGCCGTATTCTCAGGGCGAGTTTAGGTCTCAAAGTTGAGGATACGTGAACGAAGATCAGGAAATTCTGGCAAGGGAGAAAAAATTAGAACATCAGTGACAAACATCGAATAATCAGGCCCAAGACCCTTAAGCATAGAGGTCACCAAATCATTATTAGAAATGGGTTGATTGTAGTAGCAAGAGAATTGACAATAAACTTAGCATGTTAAAGGTAGTCAGAGATGGAGCTGAAGCCTTTTGTGAGAGGTAGTAGTTGAAACATAAGATTGGTGGCATTGGCTAGAGAATCCTGATAAAAGTGCACATGGTGACACTTCCATATTTGTTTTTAAAGAATTTGCTAACAGTAAGACAAAATTGGCCCAGAGAAGGTGGAAAGTCAAATAATGGCAACCAATTGATCTGTTTGAAACCACGTAGCGAAAGTTGAATTCGGTTGAGTGAGCTTCTTGTCAACAATAGGAAGGGTGGCGACATGGCCGGAATAAAGCTATCCGCATATCCAAATAAAATGTAACCCATAAGAAATGGCTACATTTGACTAAGCTGGAGAAGGTAATCGGAATCTGTGTGTTTCAAAAAGAGAGCAATATTAAGACCCGAGAAAGGGACATAAGGTGGAGGAGGAAGAAGAAGTTTGAGATACCATGAAAGATAAGGAATGGGAGGGGGGTCACAACAATTTTATGAAAAAAATGGAGGGATGGGCACCGCAGGTTTTGGGAAAAGAGAGGGGCAACAATTTTTAAGGAAAAAAATGAAGAAATTTAGGCTCAGGTTTGACTAGGACAAAGGAAACCTAAACGAGTGATACCATGTGGAAATGTCATTGTATCGATTTTAATTGATAACACAAGGTACAAATATATACTAGTCAAGTGACTTGTTATACAAGTAAACCTAAGATCTCAGGGATTTACACAACCTAGCCTAATAGAATCCAAACCAGATTCTCTTACACTGACAGAAACTTTGGATAGATACACATCATGCACCATGAGTACTTCTTCAGGGCATCTTCAATAAAAGATGCAAATGCCTTAACATGTGTATTTTGCTTTTCTGCTTCTAGAGGTTTTCTTGAGATTTGTGTGTTGCTCAAGGCTAACCTGCTTGAAAACCTTGCAGCGTGCACCAAGTTTTCCAAGAGCATTGAATAGGTGGTTCACTTGGGTTTCTTTGCAAATCATCTTGCTGCAGAAAGAAGAGTCTTCCTCTTTGCCACCATGCAGAAGACTTTCATCTTAGCTGCTAAGAAGATGCATCTTGACCATGATGCAATTCATGCTGCGAAAAAGGTTGAGGTAGTGATGGAATCTAAAGCTCTCTTTGCTTAAAAAGGTTTAAAAGTTGAAGTCTGAGCCTGCATGTTTAATGGGGTCCAATGTATTTACCCCAACTTCTGTGCAACGGAAGGCGTTCGCCCTAAATCTTAACTGCCTCAAGAAGTCTCTCTCAGACAAGAAAGACAAATGGCCATATGAACTTCTCGATGTTCTATGGGCATGTTGTAGAACCAAACAACAAGCTACCAGGGAAACTCCTTTCTTTATGGCATTCAATTCTGAGGCGATCGTCACTCTCAACGTCGTTGTGCCAACAACATTGTACGGCCAAATATAGAGCAGAGCAAGAAAGAAGTTATCACCAACTTGGACCTGGTAGAGGAAGAATGTGAGAATTTGTCACCCAAATCACAGCTTATCAGCTCCTCTCCAGATACAACAAAAAGGTGACGATCCAACAGTTCCACCCTGAAGACCAAATCCTGAGAAAAAACCCTTCATCATTGCTCACAGGGAAGGCTCCAAATAGATGAATCATGCTTTTCGTCATCACCACCTGATCCACATCTAGGCCTATCAAAGTTTGAAGTCTCTAGCAGATTGACGAGCAAGACCTCGCAAGCCGAGAATTATTTAAGCTGTTTTACAGTTCCTCTCTTTCAACAGATCTTCAAATACTTCTTCTATTTTCAATGAAGATTTAAGGGGTTATCCACAACTTGGCTCAACTGTATGCTCATAACAACTTCCATGATCTCTAGTGAGAGAAGGTAAACTAATTTCTCGACACCACTTTGGCGTATGCCCTTCCCTAGGGAGAAGGTAAACTGCCCTAATATCTAGGCATGGATAAGTCTAGCTACCTTGCGTAACTGGGTGCATAATGACATGCGCGGGTTATTCCTTGAATTAGAAATAATAGTCTTGTTCAAGACTTAGCTAACTGAAGGATTTCAGGCCTTGGCCTAATCTGTTGGAACCCGGGGTCTCTTTACTGGAAGAGGCGTAAGTGCACTGCATTCCCTAAACCTTTGTCCATGAAGATCCATACAACTGCATGCCTTCGGCGTGACTACCCTTTGTGTTCTTATGGAACTCTATCATTGCCGACATGCTATTTTCAATCTCAGCATTTGTCGTACCACTCGGTGCTACATACCATTTAATATATCTTGCAATTCATTAAAAAAAATCATAATCTAGATGCATCTAGCTTTGATAACTCTAAAAATATACTCCTCAAATTTTAATGGAGTATGTGACACATCTACATATCTTAATATTGAGGTCCCTTGTTCATTGTGACTTTCAGCAGGAGTACTATCAAGTATTACTGACAATTAATTTGCCTCTTTAGCTTTTTATGGTCACACTTTTCACTTTGGACTTGGATTCTCTGCCCTCCCAATTCGGTGCCCTCCCCGTGCCTTCCTGTTTGTGTGGTCACGGTTAAGCCACGTCAATATTTTATATTACTATTTTTTTTTGTCTTATTATTTTTATAAAAAACAATATAAAATGTTAGCATGGATTTACCGTGACCACACAAAACAGGAGGGCACGGGAAGGACACCGAAATGGATGGGCAGAGAATCCAAGTCCTTTCACTTTTGATGCCAAAGTCAACTCAGATTGAGTTTTCACCAAGTCCCATAAGCATCAGAACACATTTCACTTATTCTACAAAATGTCAAATCACGTATACAAAGACATTTCATAACAATAATTATTCTAACCATAGATAACTTGTTTCTAGTGTAGAGTATTTTTCTTAATTATTGGCTCTTGCAATTATTTATCAGTTGTTTGATTTTTATTTAGTGTGGTAAATTCAATACTGTTTTGTTATTGAATAAGGTTCTCATCAAGATATTTTCAATTTCTGATTCCTTCACCTCACTTGACGATTGACTTTAGAAATGCATTACTTCAAACAAATAACAACAAACACAAAATGATTTATCCAACTTCACATATACATCTATTGAATTTGTCTCTCCACCATTGACCAAAACAAAAAACAAAAAATTCTCTCCAGGTTTTTGGATGGGACTAATCCACGTATAAGGGACCATGTGTTGGTTTGATATGCACTGGAGAGGTACAATACTTGGCTTGTACCATGTTGGTTATCTCATAATTCTACATACCCTGAGTAAAAATTTTAAGTTTTTGAAGTATCTAGCTAGTAGTTACCTATATATAACTTTTCTGCAATAAAATGAGACTTTATAATCAGACAATAATTTGGGTGAGTTAGGTCCAATTCATAATAAAATAAATTAAAGATTTAGCTAGAACATCCAAATGATGCTATCAGGCTTGATTATCTTCAATGGACAAATTAATTATGTACATAATTTTGCAGTCCATGTTGACCACTGTAGTTTCTCCTGTTGCATATGAATGTCACAAAAGGCCAGATTTATTAAGATTGCCGTTGCTGAGGAATTTAGGATGATGATGACAGCACACTTGAAATTCTTTACAGCTAATCCCTCCTATGTTTCGACAGAATTTGTGGTGGGAATAGGACTCTGAATTCATCAATGCATGCGCAAAAAGATAAATATATATTCCACGAAAGAGGGGTTAGACCATGGACCGTTCTTATTAAAAACTAGCAACAAAGAAAAGATCAAAGAGAGAAAAAAACGTTTCATAATTAATCTAATGTCAAAAATTATATTGTTGATTAAAAGAAAGTCTTACTTAAGTAAGGGACTATTTTCCTAAATCACCATGATAGTTCAGACCACTTTGAGTTATGCTGGTAATTAAAATGCCTAAGTTTCAGGTTTGGTAAAAGAAAAAACAAAAATAATATGCATGTAATGTAAAGGAGATGATAACTTGGCAAGAATTTGGTCGTAATGAATAGGTGGGTTTCTAGAACATCTTTACGTACAATATCCGCAAGACTAAACCTAAAGGCCGTCTACCATTGAGACTACATTAAGAGTTAATTGTTCAACAACTCTTGATATCAGAATGTTTAAGATTCTAAAAAAATATATCAGAATTTTTAAGATTCTAAAAAAATATATCAGAATTTTTAAGATTCTAAAAAATTATATCAGAATTTTTAATTACATGGCCATAAAAATTCACAAGTTTGATTCATTTAGATCAACTGTAATTTGAGACACGTAAAGTGTTAATTCTATTGTCACACTAAATAATACTCTTTGCCTAACATATCATGGTCATACTAGTCATGCATCAAGTTGAAAAATGACTAATTATGAAATTGAATACTTTATTTTGATTTAGGAAAGCACTGAAGTCCTAGTGATAGTGAAAACTAAAATACCATTTCAAAAGAAAATTTGAGCAATGTCTAAGACTTCTAGGTCGCAAGAAATGAAATTTTCAGAGCAAGATGGAACAACTATTGATAGTCCTTACAAAAAGAACAGTCATTGGCGGTCTAAGTCAACCATCTAGTCACTGTCTCACCAGTTACAGCTTGTCTTTTTTCCTTTGGGGGGTTGGTAGGGTTACAAACTTAGAAAATGCTCCTTATCTTGACCAGGCTGATTAGTTTGCTTGATGCCATACGTAAATAGACCACATGTCCATTACCTCAACTGAAAGTGAAGTCCCTTTCTTAATTTCTTTCTAGCTACTTTCTACTGGTAAATGGGATGCCTCACTAGGTTGGGCACCGGCCAGACCGGATCGGGCCGAATTTTGAAGGGATCGGACTGGACCTAGGTTTAAGAGAAATGGGTCGGGCTGGTTAAAACAGGCCGGTTTGAGCAGGGTCCATGGGTCCTTTTTTTTTTTTTTTTTTTTTTTTCCTGGGATACAATTCAATTGGTTTGAATTTGATAGAATCAAGCTAGCATTGACAATAACAATCAAATGGGGATGTCTAGATCCATCAATACTATGATAAACAAGCAAGTAATCACAAATAAAACAAGAAAAAATTCAATTGAAATTGCAATATCCACCCATGCCCACACCCCCTCCTTCGTATTCT